AATCCAAAGACCTAAATCCAAAGACACTTTGGAGTTTCAGGAGCCTTTCAAGGCCATTTAAGGGTTTTGGGGCTGCAGCAATTCCATGGCTTGAGGACTTCAGGCCCCAACACACTTGCGGGATCCTGTGTAGAGTTGGGGGTTACCTCATGTTTCCTTCTAGCCCAGCTAAAGGCCCAAAATTCCTTAATCCCTGTTCCCCTAGGAAGAAAAAAGGATCCTTTTTGTTCATATATAAGAAAGCCCATAACCCAAGAAGTAAAAAGGATCCCTAACACTGATCGAGATTCGGGCTGACTTTAGGGTTGCTGGACGGCTCTTGGCACGCCAGGCCCCCAACCCCCAGGCCCAAACAATTAAAAACACCAGGTTGGGGGTAGGGGGTTGAGGGTGCAGGGTTTGTGGTTCAGGGGTTGGGGGGTTTAGGGTTTTGGGGGTTTAGGGTTTCAAGGGCTTTGGGTGTAGCTAGGGGAAATTGTGGCTTAGGGCTCCGAGAGGGAGAGCTTGGCGGCAACCCCCGCCGAAGTTTAGGGTTCAGGGCTTAGGGTTCAGGGTTTAGGGTTACCATCAACCTAAACCCTAAAACCCAAACCCGTAAACCCTAAACCCTATAACTTTCTCAAGATGCCTACATCAAATCGAGCCCCAAACCCCTGAACCTTAGATCCTTCCTGGACCCACCCCCCCGCTTGCTCAGGTACCCCTAAGCAAGGGCCTGTACCTTAGGATATCCCCCCCCCCCCCGCCAAAAATCTCCAACACCTAAACCCTAAACCCTAAACCCTAAACCCTAAACCCTAAACCCTAAACCCCTCAGTCAATAACTCAGCGGGTGATGCCCCTTCTGCGCCTTCATCTGCTTCTCGCCTCCCACCATCGACTGGGCGTGGCTCACGGGTCAAGGGGTTAATTGGAGGGTTTAGGGTTTAGGGTTAGCGTTTAGGGTTAAGACTGGTAACCCTAAGGTTGTACCACTAAAGGCTTCCCTCAAAAATGCTCCTAGTATGACCCTTCTATTCCTAGGGAATCTTGAACAGGGTTTGGGGTATAAGACGGGTACCCCTAAGGTCAAACCCCGGTACTTGAAGGTTCAGGGTCCTCATTCGAAAATATAAATTAGAATTGTACTTCTAACCCCAAATTATAACCATATGAGGGCACTTGAAGGGCTTATGAATGGGCAAAAAGTACGGTTCAAATTAGGTCAATAAGTACCCTGAACCTCCAAGCAAGCACTCTCTTCACATTTGACCAAGCGCAACCGGTACCCACCCCAACCCCTAAACCCAAGAACCCAAAACTAAAGCCCTAAACACGAAACTTCCGAACCCTAAACCGTAAACCCCACCCCCAAACCCTAAACCCTAAACCCCCCCCCCCCTCAAAAGCCACCCCCCCAAAAGGCGCATTCACTGCCACGGCCAAGGGTCCGCAAGGCGGTCGGCGGTGGCTCCAAGACCGCTCTTCTCAGCAGCCTCCTCGTCTTCTGAGGAAGTTTGAGATTTGTTGTGGCTTTTTTAGGCGTTTTAGGGTTTTAGGGTGGTTTTGGGTTTATAGGCTTTAGACTGTTCGGGTTTAGGGCTTCTTAGGGTTTAGGGTTTTAGGGTCTTTAGGGTTTGCGGTCTTTATGGGCTTAAGGTTTAGGGGTTTAGGGGTTTAGTGTGCTCGGGACTAGGTGTTTGAGGGAACATGACTTTTAAAGGTTTGGGATTTAGGATCGGCTTGGGGCTTAGGGTTTGGGTTTGAGATTTAGGGCTCAAGGGGGCTTTGGGGTCCAGGATGGTCTAGGTTTAGGGTTTCATATTGTGCTTCTGCGGAGAGGCCAAGCTAGAAATTTCGATACGAGGAACATCACGGTCCGACTATCGGAGATTTCAAAGGAAAGAAACATGCTCGAAAACTTCATCATGAAGATTCCCTGGGGCGGGCCAGTGGACATGGACTTCATATTGGACTGTGCCGCAGAAAAAGAGAGAGTTCGTGTCAGAAACAAGAAGGGATACCGGAGGCTGCTTTGGAGGGTAACCCGAGGTCCAGAGGAGGCAACTAGGGGCTCCTTGGCAGCGACAAGCCACCACTGTCCGGGTAAGGCCGAGTATGTGTCATCAACACACATTATGCTTCAAGGAGCTGCAGTGGTATGCATTGCTCATTATGGCTCATTCGCATAGCAGGCCCCGATATTGTCTCTAAGAAACGCCGAAAGACCCTGTAAGTGAAGACAGCGAAGAGGTAGGGCAGAGTTTCATGCAGCACTGTTCAAAAAAGTGGCGACTCCCCGTCCCCCCCCCCCCAGCACACGCCACAAAGTTTAGAACCTCGTGGACTCAAGGTACATCTTGAGGCAATGCTTAACCCCATGGTCTAGGACACCCAAATCCCTTCAAACACCACAGTGCACAACCTTCGACCTAAGCTGGCGGTCCGGATTATGCAGCCCATAGGGCATGTCGACCATGCGAGCGTTGCCTGGAAGGGATCCGCCCGACACCGCGGTGACTCTAACGTATTTGGGTAGTACAAACTCCTGAAAACTAGGCCCTAAACCCTAAACCCTTTCCTCCTCTATCTACAAGGGCTTAGAGCTTAGGCTTTAGGATGGAGGGCGGGTCAAACAGATCTCCCAATACCTGTCGATTCCGGGCGTGGGGTGTTAAGGTGTAGTGGGTCTTGCAGTCTTAGAATGGGTTTTGAGAGGCTTTAGGGTTTGGCGCTTTAAGGGGGGATGCTGAGGTTCTGGGTAGCTCTGCGGTTCTTGGAATGGGACCAAGCCAACACTCACAGCCCTCTCTCACAGTAGAGGGGTCTATGCAATTGCAAAACCCTATAGAGACCCCCATACACCCTATTGGCTCCATAATCAAACACTATAATTAAGCCCCCATTCCTTTAATATGTTGAGAGAATGCTAGTGGTTCGTCAGGCTCCTTGCAGCAGCAAACCATAAGCCCCCCCCCACCCCCCCTGCGCGCATTCGGAGTTCGTGGCGCCGCCTGCCACCCTGAGCGGAGGCAAGACCCGGCCAGGCATTGCAGGGTTCATGGAATGGGGATTTATACGGCTTACAGGTTTTTTCGGGTTTGACCCTAGACCCTTGCACCCCCAAAACCCCAACAACTCCTAAGGCCACAAAGCCTGAAGCTGGGGTTTGGGCTTTCCGGTGTATGGCTTCCGCAATGCGCCGCGCAATCTGAGGATGAAGGTGTCGGAGCAGGTTCCTAGCTGCCGGATCCCTAGAAAAAAGAAACAGTATGGTCCCTATCACCTTCAAGGAACATGTCTATTTTCTGAGGGCTCTTTTTGTTGAATGTTATAATTCAGCATGTGAACAAAAAGGTCAGCGCTGAGTACCTGCAAATATACCCTGAGCCATCCGAAGCCCGTCGACCATCCCAAGAAACCCTACGTCGGTTCAGAGTTTGGGGGTATTCGATATTCGGTTCGGGAGTCTGGGTTCAGGTTTAGGGTTTTGGGGTTGGGCTCACCAGCCCAACCCCTCAATGATGCGTATTTAAAGGAAATTTTGGGGTTGGGGAGGGGGGGGGGCAACAGCGACCCCTCAACAACCCGAAGCCCTGAGCCCTTTAGTGGATAGGATCCCATGAAGAGAGTCTAAGGCCGCGTCAGGCTTTGCACCATGCTGGCGGCATTCCCCACAGCAGTGACGACGTCGCCAACCTCCGCGACTGCAAAAGGGTCTAGGTGCAGAGTATGAGGGTTTAGGGTTTTAGGGTCTTGGGGTTTAGGGCTTTAAGGTTTAGGCTTTTGGGGGTTGTTTACAATGGTTCAGGGGTCGTACCAGTTGACATCTTCCGGGGGATATGCAAGCCTTTGAAGTTTTAGTGGGGGGTTATAGCTTCCAAACACGGTTGAGGAATACCTGCACAGCACCTCCTCCAAGAGGTCTATTTGGGGTTTAGGGCTGAGGGCTCCAGGGAGTGGCGATGTTTCTCTAAACCGTGGACTCTAAACTTCCTGAAGTCCAAAACTCCACTCCCAACAGTGGGGGCTAAAGCGTGAACCCAAAAATCTACACAAAACCCTCAACTCTAAACCGCAAACCCGAAAATGGGGAGGCTAAAGGGGAACTGAAGGCTAAACCCTAAACCCTAAACCCTAAACCCCAAACCCTAAACCCTAAGCCCTAAACCCTAAACCCCAAAACCCTAAATCCCTACCCTACCTGGTTCGCGAGGTCCATCAGCCCACCGCCTCCCAATGGAGGCCTCAGATGTTGGGGTTGGGCATTTGGGCGCTTAGGGTTTTCGGGTTGAGGGTTCAATTTGCTGAGGGTTTAAGGTTTCGGGCTGTAGGTTTCAGGGCCTGGGTTGATCTTGTCAGGCAAGACGAAGAGGAGGCTTCGGGTCTAGAGGTTTCCCTTCAAATGAGTTTCAGGGTTGGCCACCCCCAGATCTTGTAAATTCCAAGCAGCCACCTGCCGAATTTTCCTGAGGCCCGGGCGGCTTTTCTGGAGGCAATTGGCAGGAGCCTCGCTTCAAGAAGTGGCTTCTTGCTCAGGCAGCTTCTCTCGACTCGAGGCACTCCGCAGTGCCCATGCCCCTGAACCCTAGAACCCCAATCAGGCTGGCCCCAAGATGCGAAACTTTCACTTTTGGTACGCTTTAGAGTGCCCCAACAAGTGTCGAGTTAAGCAATCCCCCCCTTAAGCACCAAACCCCTAAAACGCAAAGCCCCAGAACAAACCCTAAATCCTTTAAAGGCGAAGAAGCCTCACGGCCTGCTGCAGCGCAGGAATCGAACAACAAAAACAGGGTTTGGAGTAAGCCTCATTAGAGCAACGCATGAGCCCCTAAATTAATTCCAATAGTGTCCCCACATCATTCTCTATATACATGAGTGAGATACGCACTTACACTGACACAAAGTGCCAATTCAAATTCAACCGGCATTTCGTTTGCACTTCGGCCCGAATCTGTCCAAACATGCCCAAGTCGTAAGACCCTGAACCATCAACCTGCTTTCGAGAAGTATGTGGCACACTATCTGTCGCTTTGGCATGTTGTCTGCTGACACGCTGCGAGCCTGAGAAGCAGGTCTTCCAGTGTGTCTCGCATTTCGGGAGATAGCGGGGTCCCTGCGTCCCAGCTGCGTAGATCAACGAAGTGCTCCAGCTGCCAGGCATGCTTCGCCCTGGTGTGTTGCCACTTCGGCAATCTCCACGGTGGGTACAGTGGCAAGTGGCAAGGCTTTTGTCCTATATACCCCAACCTTGCCAGAACGTCAGTTGGAAATGCAAAAAGGCCGGAAAGTCTGCCATCCTCCAGGAGTGCTGCCAAGAGAAGGTCGAAGTCAGTTTCTGAATATGCAAGTTTGCCAAGAGCTCCTCCATTCTTGCAGAGACTTGCACAGTAGCGGCCACAGGCATGAACGTTGGATGCTTTTTCCTGAACACGCCACCTGCATCTGTCACCCATGAGATCGGAATCCACAGTTGCCAAACCTGTGAATGACTTCTCTAGCTGAAAGCCGACGCAATGAAACAACGTCCTAAAAAGACTGTGGGCCCGCTCTTCAACCTGGTGTTTGGGGCTGCACTGGAAGCGAGCGTCTGCAAGCGAGACGTGAGGAAAATCCGTCGTGTTTCGAAAGCAACTCTCCAACAAGGAGCCGATGTCTTCCACCCGAAATGCCATGTCCCTGCTTGAACCTGGTGTTACGGAGAAGTTTATTTGCGTCACTGACGCTCCTGGCAGTGCCCAACAAGCGTCACTGTCAAGAGCAATCAGCAGCAACAACATTCCAGCGTACCCACGGGTCCCACGAAACAAAAACCTTTCTCGTATCAAGCTTGCCGACTTCAGTTGCAGGGCAAGCCCACCAGTGAGAGAGCCTCGAAGTTGGAAGATCGCATCTACTTTGGAGGATCCTGATGTCCGAATGACTTCGTAGTTTCGAGCCTGATGAGATAAAGAGAAAAGGCGCTTGAATCGATCAAAGGACTTTTCCTCGTTTCGGGCAGTTTCCGAAAAAAATGCGAGGGCACGGCGCCGAGATTCCTGCGGGCTTTCTGAAAAAGATTCTTCAAGTGGAGTGGCAAAGTTCAAGGATCGCTTTAAGCGAGCACCATCATCGCACAAAGCTCGAAGACGCACGTCATGTGCATGTGCCGCCTCCTTCTCCGTCAGAAACAAGCCCACATATTCTTGGCGCCTTTTGAAGTATACCTTTGCTTCAAATTTCCCACGGCCCTTGCTCCAGCTGACTCCATTGTATTGACTGGACACGCAGCGTGACCAGCATGATCGTGAACCAGCTTGCTGCTTGTTGGGCTGTCCGAGCAGTTGTCCGAGCGCCCATGGCGCAATTCTTCGGATCATTTGGGGTAGTTCTCTAGTCACTCTAGTCTAACTTGGGTTTGGCTAGGGTGGCCCGAAGCCATGGCCATGGCGCAGACGTCACTGGGTTATGTGAGAAGCTGGTAGCCTGCGGAGCTGGTGGCATGGGCAACCGCAGTGGCTACATGATGCATGTAGATTGTCCGCAGATTACACTCAAAAACCAAACCCCAACCCCCAGGCCCAAAACCTTTAAGCAGCCCTAGCAGAAAACAACTCAACTCCCTAAAAACTCCCCAAACCCTAGACCCCGAAAGACCCAAGCCCTCAACCAATATTCTTTCACTGCAGGCAAGCTTCTAAACCCCCAAACCTAAGTACTTTAGGCGCCATGGATTCTGAGGATGGAGCCTTTCGGTTCGACGAAGGACAGCGGGTCTTTGGCATCCGGCTTCCAGCCAATCTCGGGGGGGGGGGGGGGGGCGCTTCATTGGGCTGAGGGCTCAACGCTTGTGGGCTTAAAGGGGCTTAGGGGTCAGGGCCGGCTTGTTTCTAGGGTTTATTTGCGATTGTCAAGGGTATACTTCTAGGGTTTAAGTGTTTAGGGTTTCTTGAGAGGCTTAAGAGGATTTAGGGCTTATGGGGTCTGTAGGGTTTAGGGTGTGTTTGGGGTTTATAGGGTCTATAGGTGTTCTTGATTTCTAGAAAAAAGGGATCAACTAAACCTGTTTCTATACAGGAACCAATTCCAAGAACTATTTTGGCTTGAGTAAATGTAAAACGCAAAGGCCGTTAACAAGGCAAACTTACCCAAACAAAAACTTGTATAAGACGATTCTGAACAATCGCCTGCGTCAGTGCTTAGGGCATGAGAATTGCTAGAGCTTCAAGGTTGAAGGGTTTAGGGGCTGAGGAATTCAGGGTTGGTGCGCTTAAGGGTTGTTAGAGTTTAAGGGGGACTCTTAAGGCCCGGGTGGGATATGGAGGGTTTGAGGGTCTCGGGGCATATAAGGTTTGATGTTTCAGAGGTGGAAGCCTAAGTCCAAAGCCTAAATCCTATGGGCGGTTGGGATCTCAGGGGGCCTGGGGTGGCGTAGGGAAGGACGCGCAGAAAGCTTTAAGGGAATGAGGGGCTCCAGGTTTAGGGGCCGTATATGCTAAGTTTTTTCAGGGCTTAGGGTATTTTTCGAAGTTCATGCCCAGAACTCAACGCCTTGAAGCCTTAAGTGCCACAGCTTTAGGATTTTGGGCCCTAAGCAATGAACTCTTAACCGAAAGAGGCACAGCATGTGGAGATCCCGAGGGTTTCGGCCTAGCCTCCTTGCTGGTCGATGGCTTCCGTTCTCACTTACACATCCCATGATGCCTGAACCCCAAACCTTCAACCCCCAACCCTAAACCCCCTAACCCTAAACCCCAGGCCCAAAACCCGAAATCCTAAACCCGTAAACCCCAAATTCCAAACCCGCCTTGGGCACTTTGGCGCAGGTGGCATGAACCAGGCTGCCTCAAGCTCGCTTTGGGGGGGGGGACCCAGGAGGCCTGCCCGCTGCACCGTGCAGGGGTTGAGGGTTCCAGGGTTTCAGGGCTTTAGCGGGTTTTGGTAATTTCGGGATTTGGGGTTTACGGTTTTAGAGTATTCGGGTTCAGGGTTTTCGGGGTCTTGGGAAATGAACAGCTCTTCCACAACCTCCCAGGGAGTTTAAGGTCCACCCGAAACCCAAAGGCTGGGGAAACCCTATAAACCCTATTAAACCCGGCAATAAACCGCGAAGCCCTAAAGAGGTTGCTTCAAGGTCAAGGCACAGCTCTCCTCCTCTGGGTCGCGACAGGGCAATCCTTCCCAGGGCTCTGGTAAGCTCGGGCTAAGGATTTAGGGGTTAAGGGGTTTCAGGGTTTGGGGTTTAAGTTTATGAGTTCATAAGGGCGCTAGGGGTTTAGGGGTTAGGGTTTGGGTCTCATGTGACTCTTGCAACTTCATGAGATAGAAGTGAGGGCTCATGGAAAATTTATTTTATAGGTAGCTTCACTTACAACCAAACTTTCAACTGCTGGGTACGTCAATTGGAGTGAGGGTCCGATTCTTCAGGTATCTTCCTGGGTAGTTCTGTGGGGGAGGGGGGGCTTCAACTTCAGCATGCTTTTGGAGATCCCTCCCGCGGATGACACATACTGAGCCACGCGAACAAGGAGTGGACACATGTTCAGGGTTTAAACGGTGCAGGGGGCTCCGTGGCGTGTAAACGACTATAGCTGGTACTGTAACACCCAACTCAAGGCCTTATAACTATTATAATATGTGCTGAGCTGGGGTAGCCAAGCACTCCAACGAGACCGTGACACGACTGGCAATTGCTGAAACTGAAATCATGTGGCTTTCAAGATTTAACGAAAAAGTTCCCAGGTCCTAAATTTCGGAGAAAAAACTTGGGAAACATCGGCACGCGTGGTGCGAACAGAAACGCAACCGAAAACGCAGGGCACGGTAAACCCTCCCCCCGCCCTTGTGGCGGGTGTTAAGGTTTAAGGCTTAGAAAAAAAGCCTGCAGCTGCAATCCAAAACCCCAAAGCCATCCAAAACCCCAAAGCCTAAACCCCGAAACAGCGATAAACGGGTTCTAACGTCTAAGAAGGGCCCCGACCCGGCCTGTCAGCGGATCTTGCCAGGATCGGGGCCTGGGAGTTGCCAGGCACAAGGTTGCGGGGAGTTTATAGGGTTGAAGGCTGGGACGTTCTCTCCTTTTTTACCAGTCCTTACTAGGGATTATCGCACCCCGTATAGTCTCTTTTAAGGACGTATACTGGGGGAACATCCTAAGTTGGAGGTCTAGCGGCTTAAGGGTTTAGAGTTTAGGCATTAGGGGTTCAGGGCTTGGGGTTGAGGATTTAGGGGAAGGGCTTGGGGGAGTTTAGGAGGAAAATTCCCAGGTAGGGTAGCCAAACAATACGCATATGTATCCGGAGATAGAAAAAGCTTGTAGAACGGGCATATTTAGAAGGAGCATGTAAAAGGTCATTTTGGGACAACAGCCCACCTGAAACTGTCCGGGATTAATCGCGGTGGACCGGGTGAACCTTCAGAAGGCCTGTGCTGCACATGCTTCAAAGTTGCTAAGCTGCTTGAATCTGCTGCCTATTCTCTATTGCTTAGGCTTCCCTTTCGCCCCCCCCCCCCCCCCCCCCCCCGCCCCCGAAAAAAAAAAAAAACGAAAGTCTTCCCAAGCAAGGCTTTGAAGTGCCCATCCCCCGCGTTTGGGTTTAGTGATTGTAGGGCTTAGGGCTTAGCTGGGTTGTGCTTCAAGGGGGAATGGAGGAAAGAATTCCTAGATTAATCACGTGCCACCCCCTTAATTGCCCTAAACCGAAAACCCGAAACCCGATCCTCCTAAGCGCCCGAGAAATCCGGACGGAGGGTCTTAAGTTACCCAGCCTTGGGACAAAACCAGGCAGCCCTACTTTCGCAGGTCTAGGAAGGGAACAGGCCCTTCTTTTCGTAGGGGTGTTCGGGAGGTTCTTGAGGGTTTCAGGTCGCTGTTGGAACGCTCAACGCGCCAACGCCCCAAGCTTTCAATCCCAGGCACACCCCTTCATGGGCAAGGGGCCTGCCCAGGGTTTAGGGTTCAAGCGTGAGTCGGTAGGGTTTCGGGTTTCAAGGCCTTTCATGGCCGTTGATTGTGAACACATTGTGTGAATATAGTATGTCCTGGATTCGTTGGGGGGGTGGGGCTTTTATCTGTGTCGACACCCGGGCTGGAGCTGCTGAACCTCAAGTTGTAAACCCCTGAACCCTACTCTCCAAACCATCATAAACCCTGATCTCCTGAACCCTATAAACCCCTAAACCCTTAAACCCCTTTAAAGCCTAACCCCTAAACCCCTAAACCCCTAAACCCCTAAACTCCTAAACCCCTAAACCCCTAAACCCCTAAACCCTAAACCCCTAAACTGCAGCTCAAGGAGCCTCGTGCAGCGCATGAACGACGTCGGCGCAGGCCGAGCGCCGGCCGCCTCAGGCTCAGAAAGGGTTTAGGGTTTAGGGTTTAGGGTTTAGGGTTTAGGGTTTAGGGTTTAGGGTTCAGCATCTCAAGTCCGAGCATTCACTAGTCAAGCAGCTTGTCAAGTGTTGGAATAAAACCCCAGCCACCCAAGAAACCCACAACATTGAGAAAATACAAAAATCACTCAATACATTCCCAGTAGGCTTAAAGCTTAAGGTCCAGTTGGCTCAAAACCCGAAATCTAATTCTCAACCTACTGTGGCGGGGGAGGGTGGGGGAGGGTGGGGGGGGGTGGGGGGGGGTGGGGGACCTCAGGGCCCTAAACCCTATGCCCCAAACCGTGCCTTTAAACCCTATGCCCCAGAGGCCCACCAAACAATATGCCGATGAAGGGGGGGTTTAGGGCCCCCCCCCCCCCCCCCGGGTGGAAAAAAACCGTTTGCCGACGAAGGGGGCCCCCCCGGGTGGAAAAAAACCATTTGCCCACGAAGGGGGTCAGGGTTTAGGGCCCAAAGGCTCGGTTTTGATCAAAAATCCAGAAAACGAGAGCCCACCCAGAACCGTCGATTTCGGTACTAAAAAATCGCATTTTGAACTGGGACCCGGGCCGATCCTGGGGGGTCCCCCTCATTTGGGGTGTTTTTGGAGGCACGGCCCAGGAAAAAAACCATTTGCCCACGAAGGGGGTCAGGGTTTAGGGCCCAGAAAAAAACCACATGCCCACGAAGGTCATTAGGGTTTAAATATACATAGTAAAAGAGGGTTTAGGGTTTAGGGTTTAGGGTGTATACGGTGTAGGGTTTAGGGTTCAGGAGAGGCATTTTGGGGATCCAGGGTGTAGTTAGGGTCAGGGGGTTCAGGGGATAGGGCTTAGGGGAGCCTTGAGGCGTTATCTATTCACTGTTTAGGGTATTCGAAGACGTGACCTGTAGCCTAACCCCTCCTACTTGGAGGGTCATGGTACGTCTGACCCACTAGTAGCGGTAGCTATAACCCACTCAAAAGCCACATAAGTTCCACAATGTTGTAATATTTGGGTCAGAC